AAATTTCTGGGGAGAAAATGGGAGTTTTTTTTTTTTTTTAAATATGCATTTATTTGAAAGGTAGAGCAGTGAGAGGGAGGGAGGAAGAGTGAGAGGGAAGAGGGATCTTCTATTAACTGGTTCATGCCCCAAATGGCTGTAACAACTGGATCTGTGCCAGGCCAAAACCAGGAGCAAAGAACTCCATCCTGGTCTCCCATATGGGAGGCAGAGGTACAAGTACTTGGGCCACCATCTACTGCCTTACAAGCTGCATTTGGACTCAAACCAGCACTCTGATATGAGTTGTCAGTTTCACGAGTAGCAGCTTACCCTGCTGTATCACAAGGCTAGCTCTGGGAAAAGCTTTTGACATTGGTCTTGGCATTGATTTCTTGGATATGAAACCAAAAACATAAGCAACAAAAACAAAAATTTGTGAATTGTTGGAGTTATATCTAACCAAAAGTTTCGGCACCATTAAGGAAATAGTCAACAGAGTGAAAAGACAAACTATAGGAGATAATGGGTTAAGTTCTAACATATATAAGGAACTCAAAACTGGATAGCAAAAAACCCACAAACAAATAAAAAAAAAAAACAAAATACAAATAATGCTATTAAAAAGGGGGCAAAGGACTTGAATAAAGATCTGAAAAAGATGAAGGTGTTAAATTTCACTAAGCAACAGGGACATGTAAATCAAAACCACAACAAAAACATCTCTAATGTATAATCTATTATATAATATATACACTTATTTACAGAGCTGATATAGCCCATTAGGGTTGCTGTTATAAAAATCACAACAACCAAGTGTATTGGTGTTGTATACAACTTGTGGAAATGTAAGATGGTGCAGATACTATAGAAAATGCTATGGAAAAGTATTAAAAATAAAATCACCATGTGATCCAGAAATCCCACTTCTGGATAGATAGCCTAAAATTTTAAGTAAGGATTTTGAAGGTATTTCTGAACTCCTATGTTCATTGACCATTATTCACAATTGATAAAATGAGGAAACAAGTCAAATGTTCATAAACAGATGACTGGGTAAAAAAAAAAGTGATATATACATGCAATGGATTACTCATTTCATAAAAAGAAAGGAAACCCTACTATTTGTGGCAACATGAATGAACCTGGAAAACAGTACACTAAATGAAATTAGTCAAACACAAAGGGACAAATGTTGCATGATTCTTGTTAGAAGAGGCATCTAAAATGGTCAGTGGCATAGAAGCAGACAATAGAATAGTGGTTACTAAGGGATGCAGGGAAGGGTTATGTGGGAATTGTTCAGTGGCTATGAAGTTAATTATACAAGATGAGTCGGTTCCAGAGCTCTGCTGTGCAGAATTCAGCTTGCAGTTAACAATAACTTGCAGGGTGCTTACGCATTTGCTGAGGGGATAGATCTCCGTAGTAGACAAAAACAAAGAGATGTTTAGAAGTGATGGATATGTTTATTGCCTAAACCATGGTGAAGGGAATGAACACAAGTGTCAACATATGTCTAAATTTACTAAACTGAATACTTTAATTATATGTGGTTTTGTGTGTGTGTGTGTGTGTGTGTGTACTGATAAAGACAAGGGGAAAGAATTGCTGGGACGAAGAAATAATGGAAACAGAGTCCAGGCCTGTGCTTGGTTGATATTTGGGAGCTTTTATTGTGGCTTTACTCTGTCCAATCAACTTTCCTCTTTAGTGAGCATCATTGTCTATTTTTATAGCTGAGGCTCACTTCCTGTGAGTGATGAAATTCTCAGATGTCCCCCAAGGTTTCCTGCTCCGTGGGGTATACAATTATTGCCCTACTTATCCAATCAGCAATCGAGGTGCTACTGATTTTGCAGATGTAATTGAAGTCCCAAATCACTTAACCTTAAAATAGGGGGATTATTCAGGTAGATATGACCCAATCAAATGGGCCCTTCCAATCTCTGTCTTAGAGCTAAGATACAGAAGTGAGATTTAGACCACGAGAGGGAAAAATCTTCTGCTGGCTTCGAAGATCGAGGGCACCATGTGGCAGGGAATATGGACAGCCCCCAGGAGCCAAGAGTAGCCTAAGCTGATAGCTGGAAGGTGATGGGTGTCCCAGTCTTACAGCTGCAAGAAACTTAATTGTGTCGTCAACCATGTGAGCTGAAGTGAATTCAGTAGTGCCTAGACTTCATCTTTAGCCTTTGGCAGAGAACTTGGTCAGCATGCTCAGACTTCTGACCAAAGGAACACCACGGTGAGCTAAGGCATGCGTGTTGTGTTAGGATACTGAAGTCTGAGGGCAGTTTCTTGTCCATGCATAGAAAGCTGATACCCTCACCTTGAAGCACTTGCCTAGCCCATGACAGAGCAAGGATTTGAACTGAGGCCTGGATATCTCCAAAGATTTTGTTCTCAAGCTTTCTTGTATTGCTGAATTATACAATCTCATATATTATATTGGATAAGAAATAGATATTTTAAATTGCTAAGTGCAAATATAAAATGCACATACATTATGTCATGATTTTGGAATAGTGCCTGAGAACAATGGAAAAAATAAATTGCCTGAAAGTTACACATTCTATGTGGAACTCAATGTAAAATATTATTAGAATGAATGTGAAAAATGAAGGTTGGCCATGCCCCCGGGCTTAATTTAAAAAAAGAACGGTGACATATAAACACTTAAATATATTTATCTGTTTGCCAGATTGACTTGGCAGGAACTGACAGCCTTTAAGAAATGCCCAGAATTTGGACATAGAGAATTTTGTGTGTAGGAACTGGAAGAATGGATATTGCCACAGGTCCTATGGGGTTCTGAAGGATGACTGATTTCTAAAGTTTTTGCACAATTAGCACAATGATCCAGGAATGGGTAAAGGAACATTATGATTGTTCTCTGGAAGAATCCTTACACCTAACCATGAGTTGAGCTTAAAGCAAGAATGCCATGTTAGGGGCTGGGGCTGGGGCATAGCTGGTAAAGCTGCCACCTACAGTGCCGGCATCCCCCATGGGTGCCGGTTTGAGTCCCAGCTGCTCCACTTCCAATGCATCTCTCTGTTATGGCCTGGGAAAGCAGTAGAAGATGGCCCAAATTCTTGGGCCCCTGTACTTTTTAGGGGACCTGGAAGATCTTGACTTCTGGCTTTGGATCTGCTCAGTTCTGGCTGTAGAAGCCATTTGGGGAGTGAACCAGTGAATGGAAGGCTTTTCTCTTTCTCTGTCTCTACCTCTGCCTCTAACTCTGCTTTTCAAATAAATAAATATTAAAAAAATGCCACATTAAGGGTCCTTTGCCATATGGCATAGACTGTAGCTACAAATAATAACAGTATTTATCAGGAGATCGCTATACGCCAGTGACTTTGAGCATTTTACATGAATTTCCTCATCCTACCTCAAGAAATCCTAATGTGTAGATGTTGTGATGATCTCTGTTCTATACACAAGAAGCCTGAATTTGATGAAGTTTCAGTAACTTGTCCCAGGGCAATGTCAGATGCTAGCTCTGGGATTAGAATCCAGGCAGTTTGTCTCCAAAGTGTCTGCTTTTAGCTGCTAGACCATTCTTTGTGGAAAACAAATGATTAAGCACTAGGAAAATACATTATTGTTAAGTGGAGTTGTATTTATATGGCCAAGGCCTGAATGTTGAATGAAAGCGTACATATCATGTTACCACAAGTGAAAAAAGGAAAGAGATAAACTTTTTGCTCAAACAATGTTGTGTATATATAGAGGGGAAATAACAGTAGGAGAGACCTCTGAAATGTGCCTGAGTTTAAGCGATCAAGGTGGACTTTTGGTTTTCTTTGAAGTTTTGAATTTCCTAGAGGATTTATAGTATATAAGTATGTCATATTAACAAGATGGCCTACAGTGGAACAAATCACCATCTTGAAATTTAGGAAGTAAGCTGTGACAAATGGTTTACTCTTGCTGTTGGCATCCCCTCATTTCACCTCCTAGAGATAACTGTCCCCCAGAATTTGGATGTCCTCATTCTTGGTAATTGACTGTGGGCTGCTACCCCTTTCTTTTATTAGGGAATACTAGCTGTGGAATAACCGCTTTAGAGGAACATGTAGCGGCCCCGAATTGGGGAAGAAGATACAGGAAGAGATGAGGCAAAGAGAAGATGAGCTCAGGAGCTCTTGCAAGCTGGGCCAGAGGGCCCTAGTTCAATAAGCCACAGCATCTGCAGATGGTTGGTGGGCTCATTTCCTAGGGTTTCTGATGTTGACTCTCATGTAATTCTTGCTTCCATTTGGGCCATTCTAACAAACTCTACCACAAAGACATCATAGGAACAGTGAGCAGAAAAAATTATTCTGTTATTTGAGAATAAATAAAATGAATTGTATGGTAGGGGGAAGTTTGAGTTAACGTGGGATGTCAAAGAAACAGTTTGCCTGAGGACATCAGAAGTGCCATCTATTACAGGAACTATGGCCCTCAAGCCCAGAGGTCCATCACCAACCCTGCCAAAGGGGACACTGTGATGGGTAATGATGTCAACTTGGACAATTTAAGAAGTCCTCTTTCTTAGCATGTACCCATCCAAGATGCTTTTCTGTGAACCATAAATACAGACTTCCTTAGATAAAGACTGAATGAGATTAATGGTTTTGAAGTTGAGTTTATCTGAAAATATCAATACTAATATTACTCCTAACCTTTCTGAATGATGTGGATTAGACAGGATTAGTCAGGAAAGTTTTTCTAACCAAAAACTGGATTCAGATGTTGAGTATCTAAATCTGTCAGCTCTGATGTATACACACATGTGACAGTCTGGACTGCATAATTTTCATTTTCTTAGATGTTTCCCAATGTTTTATCCATTGCTAATTAGACGAGCTGATAATGATCTTGAGTGCATGGTGATTCATATTATCTCCCAAACATTGGCTGTCATATCTGTAACTAAACACGGAGGCTGGTAACCTGTTTTTTTTTCAGAAAGCTATTTAGCCCCACAAATTCTTCTGTAAGGATTTCTCCCAATGGATATCTCTTACCAGCTTGATGTTTGATTTTTCTGGTCATCACTTCTTGTTGAGGGGGAAGAGTGAATGTGATTGGTTCTCCTGTGAGTAGGAAGAGCAGTAATATAACCGTAAAGGTCAGTCCATGTTTTAGATGAGTAAAAGTCACTCAAGTGCTTGGTTAGTTAACTGGTTTGAGAACTGGATATTTCTCTTTAAATATAAAGGGCATTTAGTGAAGGATTTCACAATGCCTAAATCTGTATTTCAGAGTAGCAGGGGACCCAGGTAGAAACAGAGCTATTGGCTCCTTTTTGTGCCTCTGGTCTATTACATAAAGGAATCTCCCGCCATATCATTAGCCTATAGACCTCCTCTGACCTTGGGTGGCAGTTACCTTGTTCTGGGAGTCACTATTAGGAGTCCATGCAGAGCAGTGCAGGTGATCTGGGCAGGGTTGAGAAGTACCATCATAAAAAACAGAAGCTTTACCTGGGCCCTGGAGGCTGCCACTGCTCGCTCTGCTGCCTTAGGTGCTTCCTGTAACACTCACTGTCTTTCTCTACTCCTGAGCACAGTGAAAGATCACACATGCGCTCTCCCGTATGGTTGGTGAGGTCCTCCAAACAAGGAGCAGTTGATGGACGTCTCTTCCAGACTGGAGCATTTTGTTAGGTTTTGTGATGCACACACCCTCCCTCTCCCACAGTTCTATTTCCCTCTATCCTGACTCCTGGCAGTCTTGATACGGTGACCACAAGTATTTTTTAAAATACAGCATTTCAGCTATACCATTGTATTGAATTTAATGAGAATAAAAGCATTCTTCATTTTCTCTTATTTTGGTCTGAGTTCTGCTTTCCAGCGTCTTAGCTCACTGGGCCCAGTGACATTTCTTAGAGCTACAGCCGCGTTGCAGAGATTGAAGTTAGCTGACCCAGCACCCTGAGTCCTTAAACTCTGTAGCTCCTCAACTGGCACACTGGTGATGCAGAGAATACTCAGGATTCTAAGTCCTTGTTTTTCTAGTTAATTCTAGAATCTTCGGATTAGCATAATCAAGAACAGTGATCAGGGTTTTCTTAGGCTTCTGGCACCTTTAACATTCACGGTATCCTTAAGATCCCACCACTGCATGGGATGTTCCTGTTAGAAGTTTAGGAGGATAGGGGATGTGAAAAAGTGCTAGGATCAATGGCTCTGAACGGGGACAAAAAATTACTAGAGTCAGAGTGCTTAGAGAATGAATTCTAAAAAGAAATGATGATTGGAGAGAAGGCAATTTCAGATTATTGAGTTACATCTATTGGTAATGGCAAGTTCAAGGTCTGGATACTGGAATTAATAACTGAGGAAGTATGGAGCACCAGGCTTAGGAAATGGTAGTTCTCAAAAAGAGTTGTCAGAAAAACAAATTAAGAGACAAACATTTAAGTTAATCTGCAAAAGAGTACTTTAAAGTGCTCATGGAAAAATTGAATTAAAAGATATATGTATTTTGGTGCAAAACAGTTTTGACATCAATGGATAGCTTTGTTTTGTTTTTTAAAGCCTGATCCTGAGAAGTATTTTTTCTTTTTTTTTTTTTTTTAATTTTATTGACTGATTTGAGAGGTAGAGTTACAAAGAGTGAAAGGGAGAGACAGAAATGTCTTCCATCCACTGGTTCACTTCCCTAATGGCCACAACTGCCAGAGCTGTGCTGATCTGAAGCCAGGAAACAGGACTTTATTCTGGGTTCCCGACGCAGGTGCAGTGGCCCAAGTACCCTGGCCATAGCAGAGAGCTGGATCAGAAGAGGAGCAGCCAGGACTAAAACCGGCGTCCATGTGGGATGCTGGCACTGGAGGCAGAGGCTTAACCTATTGTGTCACAGTGCTGGCCCCTGTATACTTTTTTTCATAATATGCATTTGCCATGCATGTTTGAAAGCTCCTTGTATTCCAGATGATATATTTTAACTATTACATTATAAGTTATGTCACTGATAAGTAAGTTAGTATTAAATTAGTACATCATGGTGGTTAAGATTTCAGTTTCTTCAGTTAGGAAGACCTTTGTTCAAATCCTGAATTTGTTGTCAGCCAGTTCTGTGGTTTTGGTTATATCCGTTCAAGTTTCTGAGCATCCGTTGCTGTGTCTATAAATTGGAAACAGTATTAATATCCATCTCCCTATGTATTTTATGACAACAAAAATGGGTTAATGCGTGAAAAATTCAGCATTGTTTCTTACTCAGAAGATGAGACTTCTTGTCATTTGCAACAACATGGATGGAAATAGAGGCTATTAGGTTAAATGAAATAAGCCAAGCATAGAGAGACAAGGATCACATTAAACCACTGGAATGTGGAATTGGAGACAGGTTATCTCACAGAAGGTAAAAGTCTAATGGTGGTTACCAGAGACCCGGGAGAATGGGGGAAAGGAGTGCTGGGGAAAGGTCAGTGAATGGTACTAAGTTAAAGTTGGTGGGAGCAGGAAGTTCTGGTATTCTAATGCAGAACAGGGTGACTATGGATAGTGATGATATCATGTATATTTATCTAAAAAATTGGGAAGAAAGGATTTGAAATTTTGTCACCATCAAAGAATGTTAAATGCTTTTGGAGATAGATATGTTTACCCTGTTTGGACAATGCAGCATATACATGTATTCGAACATCTCGTGATATCCCATACATATATACAATTTCTGTATGTCAGAAAGAAAAAACTAAAAATTAACATGAGACTATTCTTTATTCCAGTATTATTTCATCAGAGGAGGAAAAAAAAAGCCGCCTGATGGGTTGGAAAGCTGCCATGGTCAGCCCTAAGGGGATCCTCTCATTACATTAGATTGCATTACATGACAGTCTGCAGCTGCCATTTATTCTCAAGCTAACCACAGAATTAATTTTTCTATTTCAGCACCTTCTAGCACATGGAAGTATGTCTACCCCATAAATTATTCTGAGAAAGAACAACACAGACATTCATACACTCATACCAACATACCAGAATGGCACAAATTTGATTTGCAAATATTGTCAGATTCACAAGATAATGAAATACAGCTTTTTGTGGGAGATGTGTATTGCAGCTGTTAAAACCTGTTAGGACTGTGAGAAAAGCTGGAAGCTGGAATAGAGTTTTCTTGATAGGAAAGTACTGCATTGCCTCTGCCTCTGTTCTTGTCTTTCCAACCCTCGACAGTCACTGAGAATCTTCAACAGCACCTGTCCAAAGACCGGTAACTCAGGAACATTTTAGCAGACAAATCTGAGACAAGACCCCCAAAGTTCAAGGAACAAAAGCAACCAAGCTTTGCGTCATTATACTTTCCTACACCGGTGATTCTCAATCAACTTAGATCAACGACTACCCTCCTGTTTTTTAAAACAAATATTTTGTAATATTCACTTATTTGATGGAAGGGAATCAGCAAGTAATATAACCTACTGATACACAGTTAAAATTTAACATAACACCTTTAAAGAAAGTGATTGATAACAGAATAATGTATGTTTCATTGTATAAACTCTGTCTCCTCTGTATTAGAAAGCTTAACAGTCAAATATGTGCAGTTAAATGTTGAATTTGCATGGATGTGACAACTACCATCAAAATCTAATGCAGCTGTGACATGCTGGCATTTTAAGTGGTGTGCAGTGAATATAATTAATACAATAAGTAATATGTAATTTACAATGAACAAAATGCAAGCATGATTTTTCCTTTTTTAGTCTGTATAAATTTAAAAAAATTAATTGTATTTATTTGTAAAACTAGTAAAGTTCTAAAGTAGATATCTATAAACAAGATTTTACTTACACTAATGGCTAGTAGGATATTTTGAAATTGTGGAGAATATAGGATGGTGTTTTTCTTACAAGCAATTTTCCCACATACTGTAATGTGTCACTTGTTTTCTTAAGTGCATTTAATGTTCTCCAATCACAACCATAAAATCCCTCAAATATCTCAAGGAGTCCCAAGGACTTCCATCAAGAACAATGTTCTAAATAGGGTCACTTGTGTATTTCCAAGGAAAATATTTTTAAATTACTAATGCTGTCCTAAACAAACAACAATCTCTCCTCCCCTGTGCTCCACTCAAGTCAAAATGTTGCCTCCCTCTAATGCTAACCTTCTTAGAATAACTTTGACGCTCAAGTCAGCGGAGATTTTTTTTTTTTGCCAAGTCTCTTTTTGAGCCAGTGAACTTGTTTGTTTTTTGTTTGAAGCAAGCTCACAGCTGACTGCTTGAAAAAAATGAATGCTACTGTGTATGATCTATTTGGCAAGAACAATATGTTTGCTAATGTTCCAGTGTGAAGTGAGAAATCATGTGTTAGAGTAGTGCAAGCGAAGGGATTCACAGTGGAGGGAGTTGTTTCTTCAGTTGAACAAATAATACATCAACAGACGAATTCTTAAAGTTTAAACTTCCAGTACTACCCTAAACAAGAGTCTCACATCACCTTCCACTCCCCTGCCCAAAATATTTATGATTAACTACTGGCTGTGCAGTCATACATTCATCACCTCTGAGTTTACATACATATGTGTACATGCACGCATACATACACGTGGCTTCTTCCCCTTCCCCTCAATTTGTATTTCAAACTCCTATGCTATTATGTGTTTTGAGCTAGGATGTTTTTCATCTGCCAATGTATCATGGAGATACTATTTTATTGTGTGTATATATATATATGCATATATTCACACAGAGATATATCCTTTGATTTTTAAAAGCATTTAGTATATAACAAAGATTCTGAGAAAAATGAAAGAATACCTATATGCCCATGATCCAGGTTAGGGTATTAAACATAACAAATACAGTTGAAATCCCACCTTGTTTAGTTACCTCTTACTCTCTGCCCCCACCCCACTACTACTCCCCTGGTTTCATTTTTTATCAGCCCAGTTTGTGTCTTCCTATTTTTGTTACACGTGTATGGATTCCTTCTCATTAATTTTAACATTGTCAAAGTATTTAAGGATATCAAAGTGCTACAGTTCCTTTGATCACTCACAGATTTGTAGGTATATATAGTTTCCAAGTGTTCATTTGTACAAACAATATAGCAGCACTCGTTCTTGCACCTGCATCTTTGGACATCTAAGCAAGCACAGGGGTGTTTCCCTGGAATGCATAGGTGGAAAATAAGCCTTCAGGATTTTCAAAGATAGTGCCAAACTGGAATTCAAAAAGCTTTGCCAGTGTGTTTTCCCACAGCTAGTCCAGTCAGCACATCCTCCTCAACTCAGAAGATTATCAGTGTGGTATCTTTGCAATTCCACATCATTGCTTTAAATTACATCTTCCCAACTACTCGTAAATGTGTGCATGTTTAGGTGAGGTCATACATGATAAAAGAAAACAGGGCATATTAGAATGTGCAACTTGACCATGTTCTCTGTGAGGACACTGTAGCACCAAGACCAAGCATACCAAATGTCAATCAGATGGTTAGTTGATTGGTTTATAGATAAATTGGTGAAGAAAACCTCACTTGGACTTTAAAAGCAACTCTAAAGGAATGAGAGATTCTGAACTAGATGTAACTGGTGGAAAAAAAATGGGCCTTGTAATGTTTATGGATGGACAAAAAATGGGCGTAAGGGTGGTGTTAAAAAAAAAAAACTAAACTTTGGAGACAAATTAACATTTAACCTGAGTTTTGAAAAAGACAATGGAATTGGGGAGGGCAGACTGTTGGATTTGCTGGATTTAACACGTAACAGCTTGCAGAAAAGGG